GGGCTCGTTGGGAGTGCGCCGTCTGGTTGGGACAGCCGGTCGGGTAAGTCCGGAAGCACTGCTGGCGCTTCGACTAGCATTTCCAACAGAAGTGGAAACTAGGTCTTGCTTGGCCAATTGGGTGCAACCCATGATAATATGTGGGTGTGCACCTGTTGAAGTTTTCTCCGGTGCCCGGTGAACTAGTGGGAAGGGAGGAAAGGCGTACACAACTAAGTGGGTCCACGGGGCTAGCAAAGCGACCCTGGCCCAGGCTTCTGGAGTCTGCAGGAGTGTTGCGTACGTCGGGAGCTTGGCGTTCCGGGGTGCGGCAAAACGGTCCAACCTTGGACTGTCCCACAGCCGAAACAGCCTGGAGGCTACCCACTGGGGTATCAGCCACTCAGTGTTCTGGAGACTGAGCCGCCCTGAAAGGGCGTTGCCAGACTGTTTCTCACCCCTGGAAGGTGGTGTGCGGTTAGCTCCACATTCCAGGCACCAAAGGAGGATTTTGCTCCGCTAGGATTGACAACGATGGGGAATGCGTCCCCCCGTCTTTCTTGAAGGAGACCACCGCTGTGTTGCCTGTGCCAAGCAGGACTCTGTGGTCTCGAACTACGGGTAGAAAGCGTGGTAGTGCTAAATACGCTGCTCTTAGTTCGAGCCGGTTGATATGGTAGTCCCGAAACTAATGCGGGTGCCATATCCTTGGGCTTGTTGGCCCAAAAGATGTGCTCCCCAACCCTGGGGGGGGTATCTGTTACCAGAGCCATACCTGCGGCAAGCGGGCCCAAGGGGCTCCCCTGTCCGAGGTTGGCCAGTGCCGACCACCAGGACAGGGCTTCCTTCACTTGGTCCGAGATCGAAACCCGCCTATCTAGTTCCCATAGGAGAGCTCGGCGTTATAACAAGCGTTATACCGGGCGGCTGCGTAGTGCGGCCTGGGGAACGACACTTCGAAACGAGGTCATCATTTCGATGATCCGTATTAGTTCACGGAGGGACACAGAGGGAACGCTGACTAGGCATTCGGCTGGCCTGTTTAGCGCTAAGCAATACGCTTGAAATAGCTAAGCCAAGCTTACCTCTGTGTCAAAACTCCATGCCCAGGG